TGCGCATCCCGCTCAGCCCCATCCCCGGCTCGCAGCGTCCCTGCCCGGGCTGGGATACGTTCGGGAGAGGATGGTCATAGCCAGGGTGCAGGTTTTGAGGTGCAAAGCCCCGTTCAGAGGGTGGGGAGAACGCCAGGCTTGCGTCCTTCGGTGAGCGGTCCCCGAGAGCGATATTCTAACCCTGCTGCCGCCTCTCAGCTCCGGGTATGGCATCTGGGAGCTCCCGGTGAACTTCTTACAGTTGGATAAAAGCAAATGCAGCATCCGGGGGTCCACGTGTCTCGGGGCTCCGCACAAACTGGAGGGTCTGTGCCTGCACACACACTCGGGCAGTGGTGTCACAGCTGCCACTGCAGCAGCCAGGCTGGTAGTGCCAGCTCTTGGGTGGGATGTGGAGTGAGCTGTCTGGTTGAAAAAGGCTGGGAAATGGGGGCGCCAGGAACTTTGGAGGCTGTTTTTGCGCTGGAGGGAGTTTCCAGAGAGGTGCGGTTTCGGTACAGCCGGGAGGGGTGGGGTGGCACTGACCAGCATCTGCCAGGCAGCCCCATTCCACCGCTTCCAAACCCTCCGGCCAGCCCGGCTGCACTGATCGCCGGCGGGGTGCTGGAGGTGCTGGGAAGGTCTCGCACTGTTGCTCTGAGTGCTGCTTGTAGTTGAGGAAGAACTTCCAAGGGGCAGTGCTTGGTTAGGTCCGGTGACCGTGCTGGGGGGCTGCAGCCCCCCGAGACACAGGGTCCCCTGTCCCCATCCCTCTCCCAAACACTGATCCACGTCACTTGCTCTGATCGAGGGGCACTTGGCTTACTCCAGCGTAGCACGTTGCCTAATATTCTGTCAATAATTAACAAAGCCAAGAGCTCAGAAGGGCCGCCTCCCTCCTGGTGGGATAGGATGGGTGCGGAGCACCAGGATGCAGGGGCACGATGAGCATTTCTCTACCACAGCCGTGCTTCCCCTCGCCATTTCCAGGGAAATGTGATTATCTCTGGCCACAGCGCTGCCCTGCAAGGCGCCTGCCAGGGACGATGCTTGGACACAGCATGGCCCGGCCCTGACCCAAAGCGTCTTCCTGAGCCCGGAGGAAATGCCATCGGCGAGGCCGTGGTGTGCTCTGTTTGGGTTTGCTTTGTGGCAAGGCTGGACCAGGGCTGGGCAGAGGGTGCGTGGTGTGTGTTGGTGCCTGGGAGAGAGGCAGAACTCGCCCAGATGGGGCTGGGGGTACAATAAACCAGCCTCTGTCTGTCATGGGGACTTGGGACCCATCAGCAGGATGCGAACGGCTTTAAATGCCAGGCTGAGCTTTTCAGGATCAGTATAAAAAAAGGTTGTTTTTTCTTGAAATATACAAAATTCAGCTTGTAAATCATGGTCTGTGGCTTGCTGGTAAATACTGCTCCCCATCCACTCTTACCTTCCCTGGAGATAAACTTGGATTTTGCCCTGTTGACATGAGTTTTTTTCCCAGTGGGGCAGCTGTCTTGGGGCGTACCTCCCCGAACTTCCTCATGCCTTGTGTCCTCCCTCCACCCGAGCTCGGATTGCAAAAGTTTCCTTAGCTTTTTCTTTTTTTTTTTCCCCACTTTTTTTTTTTTTTTCTAGTATAAGAGTGCTGTAGAGAGAAAAAAATCTTTAATTTGGCGTCAGCACTAGTGCTGTGCAGAGACTTTGAGCGGAGTTTGCACTTCCCCTTCCTCTTCCCTCCCACCTCCAGACCCAGAGCATGTTCTGGCAGTTTGCTCAAAATCAAACGCCTTCTTAAAAAAATAAACAGCAGGGGAATTGACCCTTTTAAAGGTGGAATATTCCCTCTTAGCTTTTTCCAACTGGGATGCCCTGCCTAGGCATGAATTCCAGCGGCACCCTGGCTGTCCAGCACGGTCTTTATGGGCAGTTCTTCAGCGTTTAAGCCGGTGGTGCTGCAGGACCGCGTCTCCCACGAGCTCTGCGGCTGTGCAAGTGCCGGGACCGGGATGTTCGGTTCCCTCTGCACGGAGCCGAGTGCCGGCCAGCAGATTTCTTTCTCTCCGGTGTTTAAGTGAGGTACACCGGAGTATTCAGCAGTTACTGTGTTGCACAGATGTCGCACAAAGCCTGAGCTTGAGCGCCTTTCCCAGGAGGGCTCGGCCGGAGGCGGAGACTTCCAGAGGAAGGAAGGTGGAAGCGCTATCGGAGGGATAGCAAAGTGTTCCCGAAACTGCAGATCTCAGTTCCACTGGGAACGTGCTGCCCTCGCCAGCTTCAAAGGAGCTGAAAGGCTCTCGGCGGCTGAGCCTGACCCGTGTCCCGCTCCGGGCGATGCCGCTGTGGAAATTCGGGAACAGCCTGGCCCCGGGTGCCCCTGCCCTGTGCCGAGCTCCCGGGGCAAGCTGAACCTGCGGTCCCGAGGGATGCTCCCTCTGCCCTGGGGTCCCGCTTAGCACCAGCCCATCCCTGATCTCCCGAGGAAAGCCGAGTGGGAATGCTCCCTTCGAACAAACAGTCTCCCCACGCTCGAACAGGAGGGATTGTGACCCCAAAAGGTGCGGGTCTTTTTTTCTCCTGCGGTCCAGCCCTCGGAGCAGGCTGTGTCTCCCCAGACTTCTGCCTGGTTCTTAGTGTCTGTGGGTTTTTCTGGTACTCACAGCCTGGAGAAGTTTGACAGGAGCAGCTCCAGGGGGTCTGCAGCCCCCACCAGCACCGTGCTGCCTTTGCTGTCTTGCTGGGAATCAGGGGAGCATCCCTTGATGCCCTTGGGGCATGAGACAGATCGTTCCACTCCCCCTCCTCTCTTTATAGGTGCTTATTTTCAAATTTTCCCGAATTATTTCATTCCCATGCAAAGCATTTTATTGGCATCAGGCAGCACCAGAACCTCAGCTGAGGCTCCAGTTTTTCTTTTTCTTTTTGTGGTAGAACCAGAACAAAGAGCTCCTGACCCTTGAACCACAGAAAGTTTTATTCCAATGACCATGACCTTGTTACTGCCAGAGGACAGGAATACCCTGGCTCTCTGCTGGCCCCAGCCAGCTCAGGGTCACTGCTCTTCTTGCACTGCCAGCCTGCACTGAGTGCTTCAAGTAAAGGTTTGGAAGCGAAGTCACAGAGCTAAGTCTGGGTGATTTAGCTCTGAGTGCAGAGCTCGTGGCGTGGCACAGTGACCCCAATCGAGCCAGCGCCGGCGTGGGAGTGTGCCACGGAATCCCACAGCTTCCCGAAGAGGAAACCTGCAGCTCTGCCCAGTGCCAGGCTTGCTGCCAGGCCTTGAGAGATAAACTGGGCGGGTGTTTATCCACCGAGCACGTGTCTGACCTGATGCACACAGAGGAGCAGGATTAGATGACTCCTTCATGGCTCAGCAGCAGGTGGATGCTGTGACACTGGGATGGGAGGTGAAGAGCTCTTTAAGGGTATGCTGGGAATGTGAGTGATGCTCTAGCCACTTCCAGCTTGGTTTTGTTGTCTGGAGCTCCAGCTGGAGCAGCAGCCTCAGCATCCCTTTCCCACTTTGCCCAGTACCCTATTTAACCCAGAAGCAAGGAAAGGATTCTTAATTAAAGGTGCAGAAGCAATGCAAGGTTTGCCTTCCTCCTCCACTGGACCTCAACCACAAATCCTGCTCTTCCCTGGCATTGCCAGAGATCGGTCTATGGTGGCTGCTGGCCAGGAGCCCGAGTTGGGTGCTCGGCATGAGGCTGGTGGCTTTCCTTGGCAGCACACTCTGCCCACAGATGTGCTCGGGCATGTTCCCTTCACCCTGACCACGTGGCCCAGCCACCAAACCCTGCAGCATCATTCCCAGGAATGCTCCTGGCCTCTGGTTACCCAGGAAACTGATGGGAAATGCTGGAGCTGGTGGCTGGAGAGGGCAGTGAGCTGTGAGTTGCCTTCCTCGCCGCCAGGGCCGAGCTCTCCCAGCCGGATGTTTACTGAGCTGTCAGATGGAGAGATGCCGGCAGGCTGCTGTTCCAGCATGCCCATCTCCCAGCCTTGGGTGCTGTGTCCCAGGAGCAAAGAGGGCGGTTGCTTCATTAATTAATTCCAATTAATCTTTTGTGCTACGGGGCTGAGGGGCTGGAGCTGGGTTCCGCCTGCTCGGCGTGGGGCTGCCTGGCCAACTCAGGGAAGCAAACAGGATAAAGAAAGTTGGCTGGAGGGACCCAAGGTGGGGCAGGCGCTGGCAGCAGGAAGTTGGATCATGTGTCCGTGGTCTGGGGAGATCAGTGGCCACTGTTGGGACTGTGCTGGGCCCTCTGGAGCAGTCACTGCTTTGCCACTTTGGATGGTAAATACTGATGGTCTATGGGGACACTGGGGACCAGGCTGAGACCTGGGAGCCAGCACCACTCAGCAGCCTGATTGCTGTGCAAAACACTCCCCTGGGACCTGGGCTGGTGGGAGAGGGTGCCAAAGCCGAGGTTGCCTGGGTGAGGTTCCTGGCAGTGCCGGTGCCTCTGTGTACACCCAGCCAGGGATTGTCTGATGTTTCCTGATAGGTCACTTGTTCCTTGTTCCTTTGTCAGGCTTCATGAGCTCGCACCGATGACTGGCAGGTATGCAGTGAGCTAGGACAAGGCCACTCACTCCATGGCACCACCTCCCCACGGCATCACCTTCTAGGATCTTCCTGCCATTAATATTGCCCCGCTCAAGCTGCAGCCGAAGATGCCCACGGCCAACAGCCCGAAGGTGCCGCTGGGCAGCCTCCAGCAGCAGCTGGAGCTGCTCCTGGTCTGCTCCAAGTGCAGCGTGAAGGAGAACGAGATCACCTACCACCCGCGGGAGGTGGAGCACAAGTGCATGTACGAGATCCTGCTGGCGCGCTGCCGCAGCCGCAGGAGCACAGCATGGAGGAAAGTGTCCCGGCGACCCGGCTTCCCCAACCCGGCACGCTACGCCGTCTGCAGGTACTACGTCATGGGGCTGGGCTGCAACAGGCACAAGAACCAGTGCACCTTCGCCTGGAGCGCGGAGGAGGCCATGGTCTGGAACTTTGAGAGGGAACATCAGCTGGAGCGGCGCTGGCTGAAGGCGGCGGTGCTGCAGGCGCAGCTGGGGGGCCACCCCGCTGCCACCCCCACTGCCAGTGCTGCCAGTGAGATCACCAGTGAGTTCGGGGGGTACTTCCAAGAGATCTGCAAGCGCTGCTTTTTCAGCTGCCCCCAGCGCATCACAGTGGGTGGCCCTGGGTGGCTCTGTGAGTCCCACCGCACCTGGGACCCGCTCCTGGTGCACGTGGTGCTGGACAGCCAGAAGAAGCAGCAGTACACGGCCATCCGGCCCTGCCCCGAGTTCATGGAGACCCTCACCTACTGCCGGTTCATGTCCCGGGGCCGGCCCTGCAGGCACGGCCCGCAGCGCTGCCAGTACGCGCACAGTGACGTGGAGATGGCCGTCTGGGAGGCTGAGAGGGAGCACGGCTTGCTGCGCTCCGACCTGCTGCCATCCGCGGGCGCCGGCAGCACCGACGGCAAGCCGGCAGCGCCCGCGCCCGTGCACTTCTACTGCTGCCTCTGCCTGGTGACCTGCGGCTCGCAGGAGAGCTTTGAGAACCACTGCTCCTCCATCGAGCACGTGCAGATGCTCTCGGCCGACAGCTCCATGCAGTGGGTCCACCGCGCGCCGCCGCTCGGGCTGACCAAGTTCTCCCTGTGTAGCAGGTAAGGTGACCAACAGGGAAGAGGGCAGGAGCTGCTGGCTCCCTGAGGATCCCCATGCCACCAGGCACAGGTGGCACCTTGGACACCTCTCTCCCGACAGAGCGGAGGTGTGTGAAATGGGGAACAGCTGCACCAAGGCTCATTCCAAAGAGGAACTGCAGGAGTGGATCCAGAGGGTGAAGGTTTCCGTGAAGAAAAAGAAGCAAGCCATGAAGGATGGGCTCTTGTCCTACCAGGACCGGCTCCTTGCTGAGTATAGGATGTGCTCCAACGAGGTGTTAATTGTGAGTTAATTGAGAGTTAATTGTGAGTGGTGGGCACAGGGTGGGAGCACTTTGGTCCAGCCCATCACAGGAGAATCCTCTGATGTGAGAACTTGGGAATGGAACCCACTGTTATAAATGCAAAGGCAATTTCGGGTTATATAAAAGAGAAAATTTATTATCAAACAATAATAAATTCGAACAAAGAGAAAAAACTACAATAAAATAAGCAGCGCAGCGCTGGGTGGACAGGGTCTATACACAAGGTATAGATGCTCTCAAATCCACGCCTGAGAGTCCTTTGGCCTTGGTTTTTATAGGAAGTTTGTGTCCCGAGGCCAAATTCCAAGCAGGCACCCTTTGCTAAGAGGTTCTTAATTGTTCGAAGAATAGATTTCCTGGCACTGGAGAATAGGGTCAATAGACGTTGGGCAGAGGCTCCTCATATGTAAAGAGGTCCAGGATGTCTTTTTGATATCATTTTGGTCCGGGCCATTAGGGTGGAGTGGTGGGACTCATCCTGGAGCCGATGGCTATCTCGGCTGGCTCCTCTTCCTTTGTCTAGTTTCTCCATTTCTCCAGCACAGGTGGGCAGGGCGGAGATGCTCAGGTTCGGCGATATCTCGTCCGGGCCCGTTCTTTTGTTTGTTCGATGGCCCGTGTCCTGCCCATTCTTTCGGGGCTGATGTGCCTGCTTGCGATTGTTATCTGGGTGCTTGGCTGCAATCTGTTGCTTTGGAAGAGAAATCCTGCCTCGACTTGGAGGAGGATTTCTCATTCCATATTTTCATCATTTACAATTACATATACTTTATTTAAACCTTTTCTTTCGAATTTTTATTCATTCAATTCTTTATTACACCACTGATCACCTTCCTAATGGAGATGCAAAAAGGGATGTGGCTTCCTCCTTCCTTCATCTCTTTGGAGATAGGAGAGCCTGCTGGGGTAGCCATGCTATGCCGTGGGTTCTCTTGCTTCCCAAGGCTGCTGCGTGGGGACTCAGAGCAGCTGTGGGTGAGGATGGAATATGAGGATGCCCTCTTGATCCCTCTTGGGAGGATGTAGCGTAAAGGCAAGGATAAAGTGGCACTGTGGAGGGCTCTGAGGTGTGTCCTTGGGATGCTGCCTTCAGTCCCTCTCCTCTCATGACTCCCCACAGATGGCTGAGCATGTCGAGGGTGTCCAAGTAGTGTGTGAGCAGCCTCTGCATGTGCAGCTGGAGGACAGGAAGAAGAAATACCTATGGCGGTTCAAGGTCCACTCTCAGGTAAGCTCAGACCTTTTGAGGGTTTTGTTTGGTTGGGGATTTTTATTTAGTTATTATTTCTGCAAGGAGCAGAAGGATGGGGATTTGGGCATGTTTAAATGAGGACACGTGTTGGGTATTCAGGAGCTGCTCAGGTGGTGCTTGCACTGGGGCTGTGTGCAGGGAGTGCAGCCACTGTGTCTCCTGTCTTGTGCAGTGGTCCTGGGACAGACCTGGCTGCTCTCAACACCTTCCCTCTATCATCACTAATAACAACATTCAACTGTTTTCCTGCCCAGGATTTTGTGGATGTTGGGGGCAAAAGCCTGTCTTCTTCAAAGTAGATCTCCCATTTACTGCACACTGGTTGATATTGAACTGAAACCTGAGGTTCTCTGAGACCTTAGACTAATTGCTGCGGGATTGCACGAGGAATAAGCTGTGGTGCAACTGACACAGTGTTTGGTTCCTCTAGCAGCTTTTTCTAGGAAATGCTGCTGGAGCATCTCACCAGCTGCTGGGCTCTTCCCGTGGGCTGCCCTCACTGTGTCCTTGTCTTCTCCTGAATGGCAGATGCGTCTGCAGCACGTGGCCCTGCTGAAGCGGAAGCCTGGAGTCAACTTCTACTTCTCGGGGAATGGGCTTTCCCGGGGCCTGCAGTACCTTTGTGGGGAGCACGTGGCCACCGTGTCCTCCTCGCGCCACGCCGCACTGGTGGAGGTCAGCATGGAGTGCTGCACCCTGGGCATCTTTGAGCAGTGGGTGGTCTTCGACTTCGGCAAGCGCCCCGTCCTCATGCAGAAGATCAAGGTGAAGGTGGGCCGGCGGGAGACCCCCCAGCACGTCCCCAGCACCAGGGACAGCAGCCGCCCCGTCAACTTCGTGCGCTGGGATCGGGGTAACCGGATCATCATTCCCAGCATGCCAAAGACTGATGAAGATGTGGTTCTGCTGGCAAAGTACAAACCTCCTGCTCTGGCACTGGATTTCCAAAGTGAGAGTAGTGCAGTCATTACCATCACCCGCCTCAACTATCGGGAGAGGATGCACAGCTTCCTCTTCCGTGAGGAAGAAGCTGAGCAGGCTCTGATTGCCAAGTAAGTGCCAGGCGTGGACCCTTTTGGGGTTCCCCTTCACTGGGGACCACAAGCCTGTTGCTAACCCTTGGGGCCACGCTGCTCTTGGGGTCTTTTGTCCATTCCGGGTTGGGTCTTGTGGTGTCTTCCCAGAAAACTGGAAACCTGCCAAGAAGGATGGCTTGCTGTGTCTCATCCTGTGGCTGTGGATTATCTAGAGCATGGTTTCTGTCTGTATGTGCTCGGGGGGCTGGCAGACCCTCTCTGGGTGTAGGTGGCAATCCCCTCTCCATGGGGGAAGGCTCAAGAACTGACAGATCCTTTCTCTGCTCTTCATTTGGGTGTTTCCTCCTTTCAGACTCAACCTGCGTGTGCTCATCTCACTGACCCCCATGCTGCAGAGCCTCTCCATGGGGGCGAAGTTTGCTCTCTCTGGGGAGCTGTTTGCTGAAGTGCCTACCCCCTACAACCTCTCCCCGGACACGGATGAGGGGTACCTGCTGAGCAGGTCTGTGCCCACCGCCTTCCTGGCGCTTGACCCACCTGTGAACAATCGGGTTTATGAAGTTTTTGTGGAGCATAAAGCCACCACGGAGAAGACCATCTGGCTACAGATACCTAGCAGATGCTGCTCGGAGCTGAATTTCAAGGCAAACACCTCCCACAAGGTGGAGATCCAGTTCCAAATAGACCAGCTGCTGTTCCGGCAGTGGCACCAGGCTGTGGACAACCTGTTGGATGAGAAACTGGTCCTGCCAGATGTTGCCAGTTGTTCCATCCCCTACTCTCTTGGGTCACCACAGAGAGGCAATAGCAAGCAGAAAAAAGCCATCTCCTTCATCACAGGCCAGACGACCACCAGCCGGCAGGTGCCACCTCTGCTCATCTATGGGCCTTTCGGCACAGGGAAGACATTCACCTTGGCCATGGCCACCCTGGAGATCCTCAGGCAGCCCAATGCACGGGTGCTCATCTGCACCCACACAAACAGGTTAGCAGGGAAGGGGCAACAAGAACTGTGGGCAAGCTGGTGCATTGCTCACTGAGGGGTTGAATGGGAGACAAGGTGTATGAACAGGAGGCAAGCTGCCCTTCAATTGCTTGTTTAAATAAATTAGTTATTATTGAATTTGTCTTAAGCTGCTCTAGTTCCTGCTAGGAGGAAGCCTGGCATGGGTGGAAGTCTTTGTGGAAGTGGCAACACAGACTCACAGAATCCCTGAATGGTTTGGGCTGGAAAGGACATTACAGCTTGTCTTGTTCCAAGCCTTTCCCCTAGACCAGGTTGCTCCAAGTCCTGTCCACCCCGGCCTTGAACATTTAACATATTCCTACCTCATGATAAAATGGGAATGTGGCTGGAAGGACAGTTTTCTCCAGCCTTTATTGTGTACTGAAACAAGTAGAAAGCTGCTGCCTGACCATGCTGGGATAATACTGTGCTCTAGATGCCCTTGAATACTGTTTGGCTCTGTGTACATGCCAATCTATTGACTTTTCCAGGGAGAGTTTGGGGAAGAGTAAAAGCAGATCTGGTCTGAATGCCATTGGATCTGCCTTCAGAGAAACCAGGCCAGGACTGTTAAAATTAGAGCAGTTACACTGAAAAGAGTGTCCACATCTGATCCTGCAGGCTGTTACTGCCTCAGTTTTTAATGCATAATAGATGGTGACTGCTAATCTTAGCCTGTTCCAGGCTGTTTGCTTGCACGGAAGCTTCTCCTGTAAGTCTTGCCTCACCCGTGGATGGGAATGCTTTGTTTTGAATCCTCTCTCAGAGGAGAGCTCCCTGTCACTTGGCTGGCCCTGGACAGCATCAGGGCCATAGGTTTTGTTGGGCACATCACATTTTTCCATAAGTATTTCAAGAGATGTAGTAGTCCCAAATACCAGTTCCTATTTTAAATCATACTATTGAAAGAGGCTGGGAATTGGTGGCTGCGTAGGCACTGGTTCCTTTGTGCAGTTGTAAATGTCTGCTGTGACAAGTGTGGTGTCACCAGAGCCAGGAGAGAAACTGGATGTGTGCTGCAGAATGTGAGAGAACTTTGTGTCACAGAATTTAGGAACGGCACCAACAATTCCTTGATGCTTTTCCCTTTTGTTGCCCTCCAGCGCTGCTGACATTTACATCCGGGAGTATTTTCACAACTACGTGACCACGGGGCATCCATGGGCTGTTCCCCTGCGGATCATCTCCCCCGACCGGTCCATCAACATGACGGACCCCATCACCCAGATGTACTGCTGCCTCTCGCCAGACCAGCGCTCCTTCCGCCACCCCACGCAGGCCGAGATTGATAAGCACCACATCATTATCACCACCTCCATGCTATCCAAGGACCTGAAGGTCCCCCGGGGCTACTTCACCCACATCATGATCGACGAGGCTGCGCAGATGCTGGAGTGCGAAGCTTTGGTTCCGCTCTCCTACGCCACTTCTGACACCCGCATTGTCCTGGCTGGGGACCACATGCAGATAACCCCAAAGCTGTTCAGTGTTGGGAGTGGGCAATCTGCTGATCACACCCTCTTGAACCGGCTCTTCCAGTTCTACCAGAGGGAGAGGCATGAGGTGGCCATGAAGAGCAGGATCATCTTCAATGAGAATTACCGATCCACGGCCGGAATTATTGAGTTCATCTCCAAGCACTTCTACATCGGCAACGGCAATGCTATCCAAGCCAGTGGGAACATCCCACCCCATCCCGAAATTTATCCCCTTGTGTTCTGCCACGTGTCTGGTGTGGCTGAAAGGGATATCTCCATGATTTCTTGGCAAAATGTCTCCGAGATAATACAAGTGATTGAGAAAGTGAAGGAGATCTACCAGAGGTGGCCAGATGAGTGGGGTGTCCGGGACCTGAAGAAAATCTGTGTGGTCTCCCATGGGACGCAGGTGCGTAGAGGAATCCTGCATTCCATCTGAGGGGGCCGTGCCTGCACTGCTGACTAAACATCCCCTAAGAAAGACCTTTTAATCTATTTATTATTATTTATGCTAGTAAAAATAAGAAATCTGGGGTCTCACGTGCCTTCAGTGTATTTTTTAGGCACTCTCCATTTGTGGAGAGTTCCACTGTGGAATCTCCAGTGTGTCCTGGGTGGTTGGAGGAAAGATGGTGGGATGACCTAGTTAAACTCTTCTGTCAGCATCTTCTAAACAGGTTAATGACAGGGCAGTGGGAGCTCTGGCTGAAGTCAGCCCAGAAATGTGGCTGCTTTCAAGTAATTTGGGGAACCTGCAGCTGGGCAGGATGAGGGACCCTGGTGCTTGGTGGGGGGCATTTCTGAGCTGAGTTCAGTTGTGCCTCTTTCTTACCAGGTTTCTGCAACAAGACAAGAGCTGAGGAAAAATCATCTACAAGATGTGGTGGTGGAAAACTACGAAAATTTGCCAGGTTTGTGTCTTGTGCAACAGTTCCTCATGCCTGGCTGCATTTTGGGGTCTTTTGTGTGTGTTATGCACAGCTTTTGCAGTCATGCTGGTGGACAGGAGGGTCCATAACAACTACAGCCACTGTGTAACAGGCAGGGGGAAGAGACATTGGGGTGTTAGCAGAGGAGTTTCCAACATCTTTACCTTTTCCTCCTTGTTAAAATGCAAAATATTGGCTATTGTGGAAAAATACTGTCTGGGAGGTGCTGCCAGGCAGAGCTCCCCTGCCCTCACCATGTCTCTGCCACCAATGCAGTCCACCTAACACCGATTAGGAGGGAGTGTCTGGAACTCCTTTGGCTGATTTCCATTCCCTTCGGGTTGGTAGATCTTTGATTTTGTCTTTTCCTGAGTGAATAAGATTTCACACTGAATTAAATCTGCAGCCAGCTGTCAACTCATTTCAAATATATGGATGTTTCTTTGTAGGAGGGTAAAAACCCTGTAAGTGCCATCCCAGAGACTTGAGTATGTGTGAATCATGTGAGGCCCTAAGTACCAGTGAGGGAGTCGGGTGACAGAAGGGAATTGAAACCAGGATGGCTACCAATCACAGAACAGCTCACTAGAGGAGGAGTCTCCTGCTCTGGATGACAAGAGAGGGATAAGGCTGATTTTGTCCTCAAGGACTTAGTTTATGACTCATCCGTGTTTTCATTATCTTTTTTTTTTTTTTATTGTGCAGCTGGGACTCCTCATGGTGAGAATAACTTCCCCTGGGGGTGTTTGTGATTGCCACACCCTTTCTTTACAGCCTCTTCCCAGCTCTGACATCACTAGGATGCCTCTTGTTAGTTATTATTTGTTGTGTGATCAGCACAGCTCTTCCTGAGGGGAGAGGGATCCTTGCAAATGATCACTGCTCTTGTTCCTGCAAGACCCTCAGTTCCTCAGGGAATTTGAGATTCACAGCAAACTTTTCCTGTGTTTGCAAGGAGGGGCTGCTGGTGGCAGTGGGCACGCTGGACTACTCTATGGGTGCTCATGGCTGCATTGCCCAAGTGCTGTCTTTATCCCATCTCCAAGCTGTCCTTTCCTCCCTGGTGTGTGCGTGGTGGTGCCTTGTGATGTCCACCCTGGTTCATGCACTGAGGATCTCATGATCACCAAGAGCTGCTTTACCCACACTGGGTGACCCCCACGTTTCAGCCAAGCGAGGGTACATCACTCCATGGTGACACAGTATAGACAGGTAGCAGCCAGGCAGGGTCTTCCCCCGTTGCATTCTCATGGGTGACTTTTCCCTTGTCCCCTCTGGTGCAGGGCGTGAGTTTCGAGTCATAATCATCAGCACAGTCCACACCAGCGAGAGCCTGCATGTCTCAGCCTCCCACCACCTCGAGTTCTTCAACGAGGCCAGAGTGCTCAACACCATCATGACCCGGGCTCAGTCGCTGGTGGCTGTGGTGGGGGACGCCGTGGCCTTGTGCTCTCACGGCCAGTGCAGCAAAGTATGGAAACGGTTCATCCAGCAGTGCATTGATAATGGGAGCATCTTCCCAGAGAACCTGACAATGGCTCAGATCAAACAGGCTGCGTGTGACAAGGAGAGCTGGAGCAGGAGCCTGGAGGGGGACGAGGAAGACTGTGACACAGACTCCTTGAGCTCTGAGGGTGAGAGCATGAATCCTGATGATCCCATCCTCCAGGAGCTCTTAGATGAGAGCAAGAACATGCTGGTGACAGTGTCTGATGAAGGGCTGCTGAATGTGAAGTCTGAGGCTTCAAACCAGTGGAAAGACAAGTGGGAGTATGTCAGCTTCTCTTCTCAGATGATGCAGCAGTACCTGCATATGCACCCCCAAATGTACAAGAGGTGCGAGCTGGTCAAAGAGGCGTTTGACAGAGCTTCTGCCTTCACCCTCAATGACTCCCCTGCCATGAACATCCAGATCAAAGGCAGAGTTAACTGTGGGACAGCCTTCACTGGGGACGAGGTGCTGGTGGAAATCCTGCAGAACAGCACAGGCAACAGCAGCAGCCACCGCCCACAGGGGAGGGTGGTGGGCATCCTGAAGCGTGCTGAGAGAGAACGGACCTTCATCTGCATGATGGATGAGTTTGATCCCCGTGTGATGATACCCATCGATCCCACTGTCACCAAAATATTTGTCCCGGGGCTGAAGGAGAAACCCAATGTCATTCCCATCCGCAGGCTTGTCAATGGGAAGTACAAAGTGGTCAGCTGTGAGAAGATCAGCCAGGAGACAAGGAGGTGCCAGTTCTTCTGTGTCCAGGTCATCTCCTGGCGGGAAGGGTTTTACTACCCCTTGGGGATAATAACAGAGATCCTGCAGGCAGCACTGAATTTGGAAGAAGGTTTAAAGATCCTTGCCTTGGAGTATGGTTTGGAGAACAAATACCCAGCTGCTGTCACCAGAGAGACAGCCAAATACACCTCCAACAGCAACATAAACCTCACCAAGGAAGCTCTGAAGGACTGTCGGAATTACATGACCTTCACTATTGACCCCCAAGGCGCCAGGGATTTGGACGATGCTATCAGCATTAGGGATCTTGGGCGTCACTATGAGGTTGGGATCCATATTGCAGATGTGGCTGGCATAATTCCCAAAGGGAGTGCCTTGGACCTGGAAGCAAAGAAGCGAGGTGTGACCTACTATGCTCCCAACCAGGAGCCTCTGTGCATGTTCCCACCCAAAATCAGCCAAGATGTCTGCAGCCTCCTGCCGCAGAAGGATCGACGGGTGATCTCCCTGTTTGTCACCGTAGAGAAGGAGACTGATCAGATGTTAAAGGGAATCTTCACCATCTCCGTGATCCGCTCAGACAGACAGCTGTCCTACGAAGAGGCAGAGCTCTGCATTAAGAACTGCTACAGGGGAGCAGCAAAGGCCCTTCGTTTTGATACCCTGGAGGACTGCATAGCTGTGGCTTATCACTTCTCCAGGATCCATCGGAAGTTTCGGCTGCAGGAGGACTGCTTCTATGACCGGCTGGATGAGGAGAGTTCCCCAGGTAACAGGGGGTCCCATCAGATGATAGAGGAGTTAATGATCATGTTCAATAGTTTTGTGGCCGAGTTCCTCACCAATCAGGAGGTGACCAGAAATGTCACTCCTCTCCGGTGTCAGTGTGAGCCAAGCCTTACACAGCTGTCACACATGAAAGAAAAGTACAGTCACATCATTCCTTTGTCCATCCATCTCTTACATCACCTGGGAGAAATGCCTCCTGGACAAGACTCCCCTAAAAATGTGGAGTTCAGTCTTCTGGGCCCCATCTGGGAGCACCTGCAGTCAGCTGCTAATGCCCATGACTTCCAGAAGATGCTCGACCTCGTTGTCACTGATGACATCCACCCAAAGCTGGCCCCAGTGGTGCTGGAGTTCAGGAGGCTGCTCAGCCGCTCCTACTTCTGTCGCTCCAACTCCACTGTCCAGTCTAAGGCAGGCCATTACTCCCTGCATGTTGACTCCTACACCTGGGCCTCCTCTCCCATCCGCCGGTACGTGGATGTCGTGGTCCAGCGGCACCTGCATTCTGTGCTCCGCAAGAAGCCCCTCATCTATTCTGCGGACGACATTGAGTTTCTCTGTCACGACTTCAACAGGAAGAATACCCAGGCGATGACGTACGAGAAGAGAGCCCACTCCCTGCAGATGGCCTGCCAGCTGAAAGACCAAGTCCTGCAGAAGATTGCCTTTGTGGTGGATATCGAAGAGATGAGCAGGTTTTTTAAAGCCCTGTTTCCCCTGAACAATGAGAGTCTTCCGGATCCCCAGAGAATTAGTTACAGATCCCTTCAGCTGATAGAGCAGCCTGTGTTCATCCAGCAGCGGAGCAGCATCAGGCTGACCTGGAAGAGGAGGATGTACTCTGCAGAGACAAAGGAGCAGAGCCTGCGGGAAGGACCCCTCTGCGACAAGAGCGTCACCCTCTTCCGCACCCAGACGTGGCAAGACGTGCTCACGGCTATCAGGAACGAGGAGTTTGACAAGGCCGCGTCCCTCCTGCGGCAGAGCAAGGAGCTGTACCACCGGCACATAGGCTGGGTGCGGAAAAGCTCCTGCTCCCACTACATGGAGCTGTCCCTGGAGCTGAGCGCCGGTGACGCGCTGTGGTTCCAGCTCACCACCGACGTCAGCCGCGGCTTCCTGGTGCCCTTTGTGCAGCTGTGGTGTGTGACACCGGGGTTTGAGGTCTGCCTGCAGCACATGGAGAAGCCAATCGACTGCTTCTCGGCCTATGCCACGCTGCCATCCAAGGACAGGTACAAGAACCCGACGGAGTACAACAAGGTGTGGATGCCCATGAGTGCCATGGAGTCTGCATCGTGTGCCGTGGCCGAGAACGACTCGATTGTCCTCCATGATATTAAAATAAAGTGGGCAAAGCAAAGGACAAGCAAAGGACAGCTGCAAGGGAGCTTTATGCTGAACAAGAAGTGGTTGGAGGACTGCTCCATTGAAGTGGACTTCTTCAACTGTTACCTGTGCATTCGTTTAGGTGGGCTGAAGCTTCCCAAGAGCCCCCAGAATGCTGAGGAATGCCTTAGCCATGGCCTCCAGAACCTGTCTTTGCTTGACAATGGCAAATTGGAGAACAAACTTGTGGTTGATCCTGATACCTACACCTGGGTGGCTCACGGGGTCACGGAGGAGTTCAGTGATGATGACAAGTTGGACAGGTCTGCTCAGCAGACTATGAATTTTTACGTCCACTATATGTCTATGGAGACCATCCCTGTGGAGGTCTCACAGGATTCTGCCAGGTTCACGGTGGAACTCATTCCAAAGATGCTGCCAGACATGTAAGTGTGCTCTGGTTCACCTGGCATCCCACCCCCATGGGCTTTTCTCACTGCTGTGGCTGATCCCCTGAAAAACCTGCCCTTATCTTTATTCTGACTGGCCATACTGTTGGGCTGTGGGTCTCTGGGGAGTGTGGCAGCATTCCTTGGGTCTGCTCTCCAGAGAGTATCATGCTCTTCTGGTTGTCCTTTAGAATGGGGAGATAGGGGAAGGTGCTGAAATTTCCCTCAGGACCAGCTTCTTATATTACCGGGTTGCTGCAATATGTGTTACAAAAGGCCAAGTGAAGCTCTGGAGTGGGGTTTACTTAGAAGAGCTCCCTGATTTCCAAATCATTCCCCTTTGTTGTTGCTGCAAAACAAGTTCTGTTTTTTTTAAATCAGAGCTGATGTTTAGTTTGCCCTTCCTCATACACAGCAAAGGCTGCTATGCACCCCCAATGCTGTAGCATTCTCAGGGCAGAATATGCTTCCTGTTCCATCATGAATTTTAGGAAACATTGGAAGCTAATCCAGTAAAAGGGAGTGGGCCATAACAAAACAGAGTTGGGTCAGTAGTTTTGTTCCTTGCTCTCAACATCTTTACAGGCTCAGCTCTTCAGTCAGTTGAGAAATGGTCCCAGATGCAGAGGAGCAGAGTTAAGTTAAAGTTACTTGTGGTTTAAGTTCTTTGTGGAAGGAGTTAATGCAATAACAAAGCAGAGAGAAAGAATAAGTAAAGCTGTTATGCAAAGCTGAATTACTACTTTTGCTATTTTATGCTACATTCCATTCATTCCTATTTTTCCTTGTCTGTCAGACGGAAAGAAAAAGCACTTTGGAAGCTCAAGTATGCCTCTGATCTTGCTAAAAGCATCGCCCTTGGCCACGAACCTCCTCAAAAACGTAAGTGCAAATAAAGTGCAAACCTTTCTTACCTTGTGGCTACTTGCTTCTGGCCAGGCAGGTGCCCTGGCAGTTTCTGTGGGCCCTTGTCATAGGGCTGATGCTCCCACACCGGGAGGTTCCCCTGGCAAGGGAATGAGAGGAGCTGCTGTGTAATTTGGGATGCCCTGCTGGTGGCTGGCACAGCTGAGATTGTCATCCCCAGGACTGACAGACATGGTTCATGGGCAGAGTATCTTGGCACGGGATAAGGATTATTTCTAGGTGGTCTTGTAATGGACCACCATCACTAGGTACCTGCTGCACCCTCTTGCTGAATCACTTCTGTGCTGCCCTCAGTAACTTTCTTTAAATTTGTTTTCTTGGCTCTTTGCTGTAACAGTGACAATATCCAGATTCCTGCAGCAAAATTCCTTTGATATCCCTGGTAACAGCTGGAAACTTAACAAGAGTCAGAAACAGGCTGTTCTGGATGCTCTAAAAAAATCCTTCATGCTCATCCAAGGCCCACCAGGTAAGGGGGGACAGCAGAACACTCCTGCTGTGGTATGGATGGCAGGTGAGAGCTGATCTGCTGCTTTCCATAGGACCCTCAGTGAGCCAGGAGAAGGGAACGTGGGTTGGCATCACCTACAGCTGTGCAAGGCAGTCCCCTCCATTCTTGATTTTGTAGCTCATCAGCTGGATGCTGATCCAGAGCATGTGTTGTGGTTAAAATGTTCTCAGCATACTCCTTTTTTTTTCTAGGCACAGGGAAGACCGTTGTTGGAACTCACATTGTCTACTGGTTCCATAAATTAAATGAGGAGAGTGTTGAGAAGGACAAAACAGCATGCTTGGAAGATGAAAAGGACAAGAAGAGAAAGTGCATCTTGTACTGTGGCCCATCCAACAAGTCTGTTGATGTTGTTGCTGGTAACTATCATCTCTTAAGCCCCTGAAGTGGCTTGTACTGGTGGGAGGGAGAACATGTGGTGTGGAGGGGCAGAAAGTGGGGCTGGTCCTTACAGAAGACCCTGCACTGTAGGGCGAGGACCAGTGGAGATGGGATGATGAGTGAGGGGCAGGGAGAGAGCATCACCAGTGCCTGCTGCTGTCTGAGCAGAGCTGCCTTTCTTCTCCAGAGATGCTGCTGAAGGTGAAGAACCTGAAACCACTGAGGGTTTATGGGGAGGCCATTGAGACAATGGAATTCCCATACCCAGGGAGCAACCGGAACATCTCCCGTAAATCCCTACGGGATGCAAAGCCAAAACATGAGCTCAGGTAGGACAGCATGGCCCTGCAGGCTCCTAGGATGCTGGGGAGAGGTAGCTTCTGCATCAGTAATGCTGAACAAACCAGAGCAAATAGTTTCATTCTACCACTGCAGAGCAGCACTATTAACCTGCTTTCTAAATAATTTGTAATTAATTTTTTCAAGTGAATGTGTACATTCTAATGTAGCACCTAGTCAGGAAATCCAAGTTGTTGAAAATTCCATAGATGTTTTCATCTCCTTCTGGAACAGCCCTGAATGTCTCTGGCTTCATTCCTACTTGCAGCTGCTAAAGGGAAGCAGTTGTATTTTATGTCCTCAAGGTTGAATTATTTGGTCTACAAAGATGGGAAAGTTTGGCTGTGAGTTTTTTAGCTAATGGGGCTTTTCCACATAGGCAGGTGGTGTGGTCTGCTTCACTGTAGAAGAAATCACTCAGGTCTCAGTGTTGAGGGAAAATATTTATATATTGACTCTTTATTCAGCAAAATAATCCTGCATCATCTCATCCGGCGGGCGCCCAGCCCCTTCTGGGAGAAGATCTGTCACTTTGACACTCGGGTGAGGAACAGAGAGGAGATCACAGAAGCTGAAACAAAGGAGTGAGTAGGAAGAGACCGTGGTGAGAGATGGCTGACTTTGGCTTTGTGTCACCTCTGAAGCACAGATTAATAAACTGTGTGTTCAGAATAGTGATAAAAAATGATGAGCTGGAGGTTACAGGCACAGAGCCTCAGAATCCCTTTTGCACTGGTGCTGTTGTCCATCTGAACCAAAATTCCTATTCTGCCTGTGTGACCCTTGAATCCTGCACCCAGAGCCCCTCCCCTGTTGAGTTCAGGACAAAGTACATTTCCTACAGTGTCCATCCAAAGCCCTTTTCTGGGAAGACCAGCTCATCCTGGGGAGGGATGTGAGGCCATAATCGTTTGGGAAAGCATGACCTCTGCCTGGTTCCTGCATGAGGAATCTGAAGGTGTTCCCTTATGCATAACCTGGTGTTTTCTGCATCAACACTAGGTACAAAAATTGGTTGTCACAAGGTCGCTCGTATCAGCTGGAGCGTCACGATGTCATCCTGTGCACCTGCTCTGTCTCATCTGCCAACGCCCTGGAGCAGCTCAATTTCAAGCAGATAATCATTGATGAGTGTGCCATGTCCACAGAGCCCGAGACCCTCATCCCCTTGGTCTGCCACCGCCGTGCTGAGAAGGTATGTCCCTGCCAAAGATGTCTCCGGGACAGCTGCTCAGGGCTCTCAAACCTCTTCCATCCTTTACCATGATGCTCTTACAAGACCTGGTAGGATTTTAAGGTTTGTGCTTCTTTATGGGGTGGGTATTGCTGCCACTGAAAAAATATTCTGGCCCAGGTACAAAGTATTAGTGTCACAAGAAGCATAGACACAGCTGGGGCTGTTCAACCTGGAGAAGAGAAGGGTCCAGGGAGACCTCAGAGCCTCTTACAGTGCCTAAAGGGGCTCCAAAAGCAATGGAGAGGGACTTTGGACAAGGGCAAAGTGACAGAGTGACAGGGCAAGGAGGAATGGCTTCACACTGACAGAGGGCAGAGTTCCATTAGATATTGGGAAGAAAGTCTTCCCTGTGAGGATGGTGAGGCTCTGGCAGAGGTTGCCCAGAGACGCTGTGGCTGCCCCATCCTTGGAAACGTTCAAGGACAGGTTGGACAGACCTTGGGGCAGTCTGGTCTAGTGGAAGGTGTCACTGCCCATGGCACGGGGTTGGAAAGAGGTGAGCTTTCAGGTTCCTTACAACCCAAACCATTCTGTGATTCCAGATTTCTATGGTTCTTTGTTTTCCTCCCATCAGATGGAAACGTTATCTAGAACAGGATATTTATATCATGTCCAATGTGGTCTTTGGCTGAGGTTGCTGGAAACGGAACATAAATAGGTAGCACCAAATGTCTGTGCACAAACAGCCTTTCAAAGAGCTGATGGCCTTTGCAGTGCCACCGCCTCGCAGCTGAGGAGTCTGCTCTTCCTTCCAGGTTGTTCTGCTGGGGGATCACAAACAGCTGCGGCCAGTGGTTAACAACGATGTCTGCAAGAGTCTTGGCATGGAGATGTCTCTGTTTGAGCGCTACCAGGGACAGGCGTGGATGCTGGACACGCAGTACCGCATGGTGAGGCCCTCCCGTGGATTGCCTTCTCTCCATCACAGAAAATCGAGGCTTGCCTTAAGCAGCAGATAGTCTCCATTAGTGCTTCCCCTTCCTAGACACAGGATTATATCTAGGAATATGCCAGTGCCAGTTCCAGGTGAATGGCACTGTGGGTGAAGCCGGCCCAGAAAGACGCTGCAGGGTGAGAAGCTCCTTGGGTTTCATTCACCTCAGTTTCCTCCCTTTTCTCTACCAGCACAAGAGCATTTGTGAGTTCCCATCCCAGGAGTTCTATGAAAGGCGGCTGAAAACAAGTTCTCAGCTTGTTCAGAAGCCCAGCATGCTCCACCACAGAGGTAACAACTGCTGCCCCATCATCTTTGGGCACGTGGAAGGGAAGGAGCACTCCCTCATGATTTCTACTGAGGAAGGAAACGAGAACTCCAAAGCTAACCTGGAGGAAGTGGCACACGCGGTGAGCAGGGTCCTGGGAATTGCTGGGGGTGCAGAAGGGAGGGTGTTGTGCTGGAATTGTGGAGGGATGATAAAGATATAAAGATATAAAGATGAATAGCGTCTGCCTGGTGCCTCCCGGGTCTGGAGCACAGCAGGACGCCCCTGGGCAGAAACAGGTGCAGGGCAATGTGATCCTAAGGTCGGCACTGGGGAGGGGGCTCTTCCCCCCGGCCCCGCTGCCAGGTGAGCAGGACTCTGGTCCCCCCAGGTGAGGATTGCCAAGCAGCTGACACTAGATGGCACCATCCGGCCGGACAGCATCGCCATCCTCAGCCCCTACAGTGCCCAGGTGTCCGAGATCAACAAGAGCCTCCAGAGGGAAGGCATCCGTGGGGTGACCGTCTGCACCATCATGAAGAGTCAAGGTGAGGGGATGGGAAGGGGAGGTTGGGTCTGTCCCCTCCTGCCTTCCTGAGATGCTCCTCACAGATACAGCCTTCAAGCAAGCCCTACCCCAGGGTCACTTCAGCCAGGGAAGACCAGATTTCTGGGTGATCTGTGATTATAATAAATCCTTTGGAAGCCTCTGGAGTTCTTGGGCAGGGTGAGGCTGCTGAAGGCAGGAAGGTGGAGGGTCTCCAGTGGAAGATTTCTAGTGAAAGGCTCCCTGCCCATGTCAGGGAAGCTGGAACACAGAATGTTCCTTCCAAACAAAATCATTCTGTGATTCTGTGCTTCTATATCTGAGAAGGGTGTTAAAGAACTGTCAGAAGACAGTTCTCTTTGGAAAGCAATGATCAGGAGTCCAAAGCCTCCAAAGCTGGAGAAACCCTGAGGGTGGCAGTAGAGAAGTGAGTGGGATAGAGAAATGGCCAGATGCTTCCTTCTAAGAAAATCTGGTCTGCTTCCACTTTCTAGGAAGTGAATGGAAATACGTGATCCTGTCAACTGTACGTTCCTGCCCCCGGTCTGAGATCGATAGGAAGCCCACAAAGAGCTGGCAGAAGAAATACCTGGGGTTTATTACCGACCCAAACCAGGTCAATGTTGCCATCACACGAGCTCAGGAAGGACTCTGCATCATAGGTGGGTATCCTTGGAACATGCACAAGCCTTCAGGGAAATAGGATTCTCAGATAAAAGGGTGGTGATCCAAGCTAGCACAACAAGTGGTCTTGCTTTATTCTTCTGCCCTTTAGTCTGGGCTTTTGAAACTGGGCAATCTGGGAAAAGCAGAGCTCATTCACAGCTTGAATACAAGCAAGTGTAGTTATTTTTTCGCACTCATTGTTTTAGACCCTGTTGTTTCTGTTGCTTTCGTGCTAGAGCTCTGTCCTAAGAAAAATCTGGCTGCTCATTTTGCTCCTAATCATGCAGGTGTAGGCTGTGATGTGTAGGGAAGCTGCTCATGGATATGACAGCATATCAGGGAGCTGGGATTTCACAGATATCTATGTCCCTGCAAGTGACCCAGCCCCCTTAGCTAGAGGTTAAAGACAAAAATGGTACCAGCCCAGCCTCTTCTGGCCACTAACCTGCTGTCCCCATCCCTGTGCCCACAGGGAACCGGTACCTCCTGGAGTGCAACCCTTTGTGGAGGAGACTGCTCCAGCATTACTACCAGCACAACAGCTACACTGCAGCCCAGGAGATTCGAGTCAGGAGGACCTCAGCCATCTCCCGGTGAGGATAGGCCCCCTCTGCCTGAACTGCATTATGTGTGCCTTGGGAAGGACCAAAGCTTTCCATTATTCAATGACCTACAGAGCCAAATGCAGCAGGGGATCTGGGAGCTTCCTGCACCATGACAGCTTCAGCGTCTGCTTCAGCATCTTGAGCTGTTTTTAATCAGTGCAATCTTGGGCAGGAACTTTCAATTCTAGCAAACCAAAAAGGCATTGGAGATAGATGATGGGCATGTGACTTTACTGATGATGATACTATTTTTGTAACTGTAAGTTGCTCAGCAGAACCCTCATCCTACCTGCCACAGCAGCTGCAGTTTGGGGGGGGCAAATATTACTCCAGCTGCCAGGATTGTACTTTGGGGATCAAATGCTCAGTCCTTTCATCAGGGTGGAACGACTGCACGCAGTGGAGTGGCACAGTAAGCTGCTGTTTGCCATGGAGGACCAAAGTTTCTGAGTACTGCCTTTCATTTTAAATCCAAGGACAGGAAATTTATAAGACTTCTTATTTTTTACTTTTTTTTTTTTTTTTTTTAAGTGAAGGAGGAAAGCAACAAGAGATGCATGCACCACTCTTTGTCTAGCCAAAATGTTCTCTAAGCATGTAAATATCGCAACAGCAAGACCAAGGTGATTTTGTAAATAGATTTATGTGTTCTTTGTATGAAGGAGATTGTCCTCACCAGCATAAAGGCAACGAAAAGCGGGGACCTCTCCTACCAGGAAAAGTTGGGATTTGTCAGCCCATTTTAAACTGTTCAGAATTTTATTTGATATCTCCTGTTGATCCCCCCTCCTTTTCCTCCCCCACTTTTTTTAAAGCTGCTTTTAATTTATTAACTTTTAACTCCGTGAATTTGTTTCACAGCCTTATGGCCTGAGTTTTTAAGAGCAGTGAACGAGTGTATGTGTATAATGTATTTTTATATTTTCTGTAGCCAAACTGCTGTGAGCTGGAAGCTGTGGTTCATCAGAGAGGCTACTTTCACCCAGTGACATGTGGCTGGTAGAGATGTATTGTGGTGAATGGTGCTCTCTGAGAATCACAGAGCTGCTTTTGGAAGCATGACAGTTTTGAGGGAGGGTGTCTTTTATCTCATTTCAATTCTGAATGTATGAAGTGCCTGCCTCGGCTCTCCCCAAGCCACATGCTTGGCTGTGCTTAGACTTTCATGTGGGATGGAGCTGAGATGCAATCACACAAGTTTTCCTTGTGGCAGGGATCCCTGTGATGTCCCAGCACTGTGGCAGGAGGAATTTTGTCCTGTTTGCAACCGAAATCCAGCGTGGCTCTTTCCTGTGTGGAGGAATGGCAATAGGAAATCATTGTATCTGGAAAAGTCTCCATTTAATGCTGTGTTTCTTCTACTGAATCTGTGTCAGACTTGATTCCAGAACCTATGGAGAGGTTTTGTTGTTCTCTTCCTAGTTTAAGCTACCTTCCTGCAGTCTGCCTTTGGGGGGTTTGAGCTGCATGCCAAAGACCACCCAAGCTTGCTCTTGTCCTACCGAAGCATAAGAGTGGGCATATGGCTGGCACTCCATGAAGGATAAAAACCCATAGGAAGTATCTCCTGCTGGTTCTAAAGATGCTTGGTAAAAGCTGGTAAGGTGTAAAATTCATTGTTCCTATTTGAAGTCATCCTGCGTGGGATCTTAAAAGATTCTGCAGCAGCCTGATTAGCAAATATTATTGCAATTCCAAAATAAGATTGTCTGGGGATCAATCTGTGGACTATTGAAATGCAATCATCTAACTCAGATGCTATGGAGAATTGCAAAAAATGCTGGAATTGTTGGGATAACGACTTTAGCACGGTGCCAGCTTCATTTAACAATGGAACTTTGGTTCCTTTAGAACCAGTGGGTCTCATTTTCATGATCTCCTGTAAGTGAAGAGTTTCTCCCCTGGGTTTTGTGCTGATTATTTCATACAGGTAACACAAAAAAGGAGACTCACCCCAGATTTAGTGGCTTAGTCAGTGCCCCTGGGAGGGGATTTGGCCAAGAGAGAGTCCTCATGAAGCAGGTCCCTTTGTCCTTAGTGGGAAAAAAAGTGTTTATTTCTACTCCAAGGAGGTAGAATGAAATGTTTTGCTTGATCACTTCTGTGTTGCAAGACAATATACATGTTATTTTTATTTTTTCCTCTGAGGATGTATTTTTATAACTGGTGATTAGGAAATGCACCCAAGCAGCAGTTACAGCCAGGCTGGGCCCTAGGGCTGCTGGTGCTGTCAGCAGGTTCCTGGAGAGCTGGTCATGCAATAGTCAGGGATAGCAGAAAGTGCAATTAAACTTTTTATAGACTGTAGTGACAGCTGAGTATCATGTTCTTGTCCTTATGCTCATGGAGAGAATCATAGAAATCAATAGAGGAAAGACAGTTCAAATTAGTCTGGTTTCATTTGCACGCAGAGTTTTGAATTTACTTTTGGAAGAATTTTATGTTCAAGCAATATTCTTAAAATACCAAACTTTTGGTAATCCCAGTAGGAACACCCTGGCAGTGTGGTGCCCAGGGCATCTGTCCAGTCACAGGCTCTGTGTTCTCCACAGACAAAGACAAAAGCACATGGCTGCAGGACACAAATGTCAGTTCATCCAACAGCATTAACTTAATTTCCTCGGCACTAGCTAGAGCTGGAGCACAAATTGAACAAGGGGAACCTGTGCATGCAGCCAGTAGTGAGCCCAGCATCAGGCTGGCTGGACTGTTTTTGAGGATTTGGACAGATCTGTGTAGGACAATCAATTTACTGCAATAAATTGTTGGGTTTTTTAAAACTAGAAATGAAATGTCAAGTGGCATGAAGTCTGAATTAAGGAACTTGAAATGGGGCAGGTTTTTATCTTTTGTATGTCTGTGACTTGCAGCGAACCTCAAATGACCTTTTGGATACAAATATTTTTATCTGCTTTGACTGTTCATAAGAATGAACCTCAACATTCCTTTTTTGATATTTAAGCCATAATTGTAAAAATGATTTGAATTTATTTAAATAATAAATTTTATTATGAAAAGGTCTATTTATGTGATGGTTTGACTAGAATCTGTGTGGGAACAGCTCTGTTTGGACTGAATCAAATGATAAAAAAGAAAATTAACATTAATTGCAGGTTTTAGGCAGAAAAATAATTTTTTACATATTGGTGTATTACCCTTCCCTGTTTGTTGGGAGGCTTGGGCATTATTTATTGTTGGGTTTTGGCTGTTTGTGGGTTTTTTTTATTAAAGGGATCTTTTCATGCACTATAGGGGGTAAAGTCATGCTTAGGTTCTTACATGGCACAGGGTGTAGAGGGTGAGAGAAACCAGTGATGGACATAAGTCTGGGGAGGTGATTTGAAGAGCTTAAGAGTTCAGGTATTTTGGAGGAAGGACAATAAAAACCCAAAACATCATTGGAAGAAGCTGACACTGAGTTTCACATATTTCAATGTATGGAAAGCACTGGATGGCAGAAATGCTTCTGTCTCCTGTGCTCTGCTTTGGAGGTGTCCTGCAAGATTTCCTGGTTCTGGCTGCTCCCACCTATTGCCTCTGGCAGTGGGACAAAAGATGTTATTTTTTGCAGAAAATTTCGAATGGCTTACTGCTAACCTGGAAAGATTTTGGGAAGGCACCTGTACAATTGCTATTGAAAACGGAACGAGTTTGATTTTAAGCAAACTGTTTAAACAATTTATTTTTAATTACTCTTACTCATCTTTTTCATTAAACCATTAAACTGGGGGAGTCGGTCTCGAGAGCCTCCGCATCAGGCTGCGGTTGGGGGCTTCCTTGGTGTCTTCAGTAGGGTGAGTTTTTGTCTTCAATACAATGCAGTCGTGCCACTGCGAGTAGACGAGCGTGTGAGTGTCGGATCTCCTCACTTTGAACTCGTACAACCTGCCAGGCAGCAGGTGGTTGATTACACACGGGTTGGAGATGACTTCCTGGGTCCGACCGTATCCTGGCTCTGTCTGACTGTCATCTGTCACGAGCTTGATCTCCAGCTGCCATCGTTCAAGGTGTGACTCTTGACTTTCAGTGAACCATTTGAGCTGGGCCCAGGTCTGGCATGCAAATGACTCTATCCGATCAAAAATCGGCGGCTTCTTAGTGTAGATAGAAAAATTAATGGGAGGGTGTAGAGCACCTCCAAGATGTATCTGTGACACCAAACTGTGCTTGACATGGAGCTTCCTTGGCTCCTCCAAGGAGATGAGCTTATTGAAAAACATGGAGAGCTTGAGCACTCTCTTTATATTCAAGTCCCACTGGGAGAGGAAAGTTTCCACGTCACAGATCTGTACGTAACGGCTGAGCTCCTCCCGACCTCGTTCCAACTGTTCCAACAGCTCAGTTAAAAGTGCCAGCTGGATTTCAGTCTGTTTTTTTCCCACCTTCTTGATCTTCTGTAGTTGGCAGGGGTTTGCTATTTGCAAGATGTCAGCGAAAATCATCATATTGTTCTGGTCTCTCACGCACACGTGTCTGGGCTCAAACTTCAAGTAAAAGTAACACTTCTTCAGAAGATGAACTTTGTTCCAGTGGTACTGGAGGTGGTGAGGGTTCAGGTCAGAGCGCAGGAAATCCAGAACAAGGTTTTTGTTTCTCAGGTACTGCTCCATGCTGGCATTGTCATCCTGTTCTTCTCTGGGTGCTGTACTGTCCGAAGTGGTTTCATTCTCATGCGAAACCTTAGCCATGTTTCCAAAGCTTGGGTGCTGTGTAGGAAAGTAACAATAATAACATTAAGAACCAAAGGGAAAGCAGCTGTGAGGGAGTACAATCATGGCTGTGACTCTTCTCTCTTAATTAAAGCTTAGCTTATAAAGAACTGTCAGACTAGATGTAGTTCCAGAGGAATTATCCTTTATACTTGTATGGTTTCTAATGTTTTGTATCCTCTACTTATATGTATTCCAACTGGTCTCCCTCTACCTGCCCTTGAGAGGTTCTACCTCTACTTAATAGATTCACTGACAGGAACTATTCTCTGATACACTCTGCCAAAATTTCTCCCTATCTTATTATCTTGTTTCATTTTAATTAGCTGCCTTTGTACTCCTGTAAGCAATTTCTTTCCATTCTTCTGCCTCTCTGGAGATGCCTATTTTTCTCTCTTTGTAATCTGCCAGGCTGTTGAGGTTTGAGGCCCATCTCCTCAGCCAGTTCCTACAGATATATAATCACGTTGGTGACTCAAATTAACCCTCTGCCCCCACGTGAGCTGGAATGCAGCAGGCAGAACAACACAATCCACCCAGTGCCACCTCACAACAGCTTCCAAGAGGAATGACAGCGTTTTCCTTGTGCTTCTACCTTCACCAGTGGATTGACAGTCATAACCTGACAGTGTTTTCTGTGATGTGCTGCTTTCCCTATCTCTGGGTTCAGTTTGCATCATCTCAGACCATGAGGTCTATTTGCTTTTCTGCAATGTACAGCAAGAGAATGACATAAATGTAAAGCACCTGTAAAGAGGTAACAGTTTGCTGTGGGGGTGTTTAGGCAGTGGTTCTTACAGCACCACTTCTGCTGGCTTAATCTTAGCTGTTTACAGGGTTCTGAAGTGAGGGGACAAGAGGGAATGACCTCAAACTGACAGAAGGCAGGGTTAGATGGGATATTAGGAAGAAATTCTTACTTGTGAGGGTGGAGAGGCACTGGCACAGGTTGCCCAGAGAAGCTGTGGCTGCCCCATCCCTGGAGGTGTTCAAGGCCAGGTTGGATGGGGCTTGGAGCAACCTGGGATAGTGGAAGGTGTCCCTGCCCATGGCAGGGCATTGGAATGAAATAAGCTTCAAGGTCCTTTCTAACTCAAACCATTCTGGGATGATTTTATACTTCATTTACTGGCAAAAATGTGCCCTGGCTGATGGTGCCATCTGTGCCAAGGTGGAAGGTGTTTGTTGTGCTTTAGCTGAAGTGCCTGTGGCTCACACAGCTTATGTACCATAAATACTTATGTATTTATTAGCTAAATAAATACCTGTGTCCCTGTTCTCAGTGACACTGTAATGAGAACTCAGACAGATATTTAGGTGGTTTTCACAAGCTGAATACACTTGATTTTAAAACAAAATAAATACAGTATTCTGAAACTAAGATCTAATTGGGATATCTTCATTCTTACATGCCCTATAGAAGCTAGATAATGAGATCCACTTAACAAAGACATTTTTCTTGGTCTCATTTTCCCTAAATTCATAACAGAACTAATAACACTTCCTCATAGGAATTCCAAGCATTTGTAAACCTTTCAGCTGTCTGGCCCTGAGCTGCACCACAGTTTATAGTAAGTCACTCATTTGCAACTTTATCTTCCAAGAGAGCTGCCAACTAAAAGAAAAACAAGCTGTATTTCCTTTTCACGTTTTTCTTTCCACAAAAAACCCCCGACCTAAACCAAAGCAGTGCCAGCTCCCGGCAACGTGTATGAAGCAGCAGGACCAGCACATGTGCCAGGTGACATTCCCCACTCTTGGAGGGATTTGGCTCTGCCGAGCAATGTGTTTGCCCACAGACCGAGCTGTCATTGTGCTTGTTTTCCCTTGCTTTTTCCCGTGCTTTTACATCCCGTTTTTTGTTTTTTTTTCCCCTCCTGCCGGAGAGGGCGGGCTGCATTCCCTGCACTGCTGCTCTGTTTGCAGCCGGGGAGCGGGGGCTGCATCACCCAAGGAGGGGGCTCTGTGTTCACCCAGGCCTGGAGAGGTCCCGGGGGCTGCCCCCTCGGCCTCCGGCCCACCTTGTCAGGCCCGGGAGCTGTGTCCAGGTGCTCCTCAGGCCTCGGGAGCTGTGTCCAGGTGCTCCTCAGGCCCCGGGAGCTGTGTCCAGGTGCTCCTCAGGCCCCGGGAGCTGTGTCCAGGTGCTCCTCAGGCCTCGGGAGCTGTGTCCAGGTGCTCCGGTCCCGGCGCGGCCCGGCCGGATCCACCCGCGGCCCGGCCCGGCCAGGCCCGGCAGGACGTGGCCGTTGCCACGGCGACCCCTCGGCCTGGGGAGCTGCGGCCGAACCAGGACAAGCCCTGGAATCGCTCGTATCCTCCCCTCCGTAATTCACAGAATCGTTTGGGTCGGAAAGAATTTAAAGCTCATCCCGTTCCAAGCCCCTGCCATGGGTAGCGATGGCAGTAAATCCCAGTAATCTCCTTCCCGGCCGCTTTCCCCTTCCCCGGTCCCTCGGACCTTCGGAGGCTGCAGGCTCGGTGACAGCGGGCGTCGTGGGGAGAGGGGACCTGCTCTGCCCGTGCAACGAGACGTGTCTGCAGCGTCTGCTAAGTGCTGACATGGGGCAGCACACGGCGCTCGATGCCCACTGCTGTGTCACAATGGGATGGTGGCACCGGGGAAGGTGGAATGTAACACCGTGGAACCGTGAAGTGATGGATTCACAGAATGGCTTGGGTTGGAAGGTCCTTGTTCCACCCCCTGCATGGGCAGGGACACCTTCCACTGTCCCAGGCTGCTGCAAGCCCCATCCAACCTGGCCTTAAGCACTTCCAGGAATGGGGCAGCCACAGCTTCTCTGGGCAATCTGTGCCAGAGCTTTACCACCCTCACAAGTAAGAATTTCTTCCTAATATTTGATCTAAATCTCAGATAAAGCCCTCTGGGATTTATGGCTGCATATTGCTATTGCTGCAAATGGGGGCTTATTTGCATCTCGAGGGAGAATCTTGCAAAGTCCATCTGAGGCCAGACACCAATGCTTCACTCTCCACAGTAAAACTGCAGCTGTTTCACAGTGTCAAGAGTTTTGTTAAACACATAATCCTTATGAAAGAGCTGTGTTGAAATAGGATATAAAATGTTCCATTAAGTGCAGCAAACTTCCTTCTGGGAAGGAAGGGATTTTCCTGCTCTGCTTTCCTACGGGACCTGGCCACCCAGTCAGCTGTGTTACTGTGGAGAAGAGCGTGCCTTGTCTGGTTCATGGTGGCAAGCTCCATACCCCAACTGGTGAACTCCTCAGCAAGCTGGTCAAGCCTCTGGGGCTGAAGGTGCCTTTGTACTCCCTGCTATTAAATCTTTGGGTCAGGGC